ATATTTATATATCATATATAAACTTACATATATTTGTATAAAATTTGTTTTTATCTCGTTCGAAGAAAAACATATTAACAAATTATATAAGAAATGAAGTTATATAAGAAATTTGACTTAAATTTATATATTTTCTTTCTTTACCAAAAGAAATAAAGATGAAATTAATTAATTTAATAAACTGAACAACTCTTTTTTTCATAGTAAGTGTTTTATAATTAGATATTTTATAGTTATATGTATATATTATATAGGACGTAAAACCACTAGTTGTGGATCACTCTTTAAAAAAAAATTCATATTTTTATTCAGATATCGACCAATTAATAAAATATTTAATAGTTATAATTGATCATAAACATTATACTATGGATGATTTTATTTCATTTCGGTACCATTTTTTATATGTTTTAACTTTAATTAAATAAAATAATGACAATTATTATTCACAATTAGAATCCATATATTAATGGGATCAATTCACCAAATGTTTTTATTCTTTTTTATCGGCGTTATTATATTACATTATAATAATAAAAATGATTTTCGCGTGCATATCGTAATATATATATAAAATTAATTAATTATAATTGATGATCCACATTTACTTCTTGGGTCTAATTGTGGATCATAATGCAATTTTCACATATTCACTTTATATAAAATTAGTGATAGTTAAAAATGAATGAATAAAAAAAATTAATGAAAATTAAATTTAGCAATAAAAAAACAGTTAAATTATGAATAGACACTTTATTCTATTTTGATACTTAAAATAAATAAATCTTTTCGTGATGGCATCATTTGTAAGATTTGACAAGTTTTTAATTTTTTCTATGAAATTTAATGCTACTTACTACATTATTATAAAACTTTATATCTACTATAAAAGCCATAAAACAATTCTTATGATATTATCTTGAATGAATTTCTGAAGATATATATACGTTAGTTAACTTTGTACATTTAATTAATTAACGACATCAATAAAATGTATAGCGTTATTCCTAATAAATTAAATTTAATCGACATTTGAAAATAAATGCTAAAGAATTTTGTGATATGTATTATTTATTGGAAAATACTATACTATAATTATTTAAATATAAAAAGGAACTAGTACCTGACCTACATCTGGTGCTTTTACCCTCATGTATATATAAATATACATATATCTTGCTTCATCGTTTTTAAGATTTTGACATGCTTAATTATCAGTGTATTTGAAATTTAACCATAATTTTCTTTGTTACTATGTCTGAGCCGTAAGCATTGCATGTAAGATATTAAATAATCAAAATTTTAGTTTTATAATTTAAGTTATATTAATACTTTAAGTTAATACTTTAAGTTATATTAATTTTACAAATATCTTTTTTTTTATGATTTAGTCTGCTTTTGATATATTCTATTTCTTCTTTTTTATTTTTCATAACAGCTATCACTTTATTATAATTTTATTACTGGAATTAAATTTTTTTTCCGTCGAACGTAAAATAGATTTTCACTATTGTCTATTCTCTACTGAATTCTCTATTAATTTCTATTTATCAGATTTTCAAATGACAAGCAATTTTTTTTATACAGTTTATTTTTAATATTTCCTTTTTCATACTTATTGGTAGTTTATAAAAAATATTGCTTTCAACCTTGATAACTATTTTTTATTTACATTATGTTTCTATATTCATATTTAATTTGAATTATATTTAACTATTTTTACACTGTTTACACTGTTTTTAAATATTTTATTTATGTAAATCAGAAAGAAATGAAGAAACGTTCATGTATAAAATAAATGTTCCAAATTACATATACATATAATATCACTAACGATAAAATAAATAAAATATGTCAATGTAGCAGTAAAAGATATTAAAATATGATGACAGATTTCGATAGTTTTCATATAGCTATTATTGTGAAAGCGTATTGTAAAATATCCATCAAAACAATGCGCATCTTTGTTGTCACTCTATATCTAATCTCTCTATCTTTTTTATCAAAGAAAATCTGTCTTCACACGAAATAGACCGCTTTTATTAATTTCTTAACATAGACTTTTTTCTCGATATAGCACCTTCTGGCTTAGGAGTCAATATTTTCCTGTCATTTTGCAAAGTATTTAAGGCGTTTAATGAGTGAAATAATTACATTAACGGCAAATTTCGGATATAATTTCTTTGATAAAAAATTTTATAAAGTAAAAAATTATATTTTCCGGTTTTAGGTGAATAAACTTGAAAGTAAACATTTGAGAAAATTTAAATTGTAAGGACTATAAAAGGAATTCAAAGAATATTACAATAAAATTAATTGAGAATACCTCTGAAAAATTTGCGATTTGAATCTAAAAAAATGAGTTTTAAATCTAAAAATTTAATTACTAAATCGCAATATTTCAATCGACATAAAGGAACGCACAATGACACAAAAGAATATGTATGCGAATATTGCGGTAAGATTTGTTTTTCATGGTTAATATTTTTAATGTTTTTGATAACTTTTTATTATTTCAACAGTTATCCGTTTTATGTTATCATTTTTATATTCATTTTATAATAACAATTTTCCTTAATATTAAAGATAAACAATTTACCTCTTCGAGAACTTGGAAACAACATTATAAAGACGTACATTTTCAAGTTAAACCCTATAAATGCAAAACATGTGATAAAACATTTCAATATGAATCGGAATTGGGTCGTCATGTTTTGCTTCATGCAGAAAAAAAACCTTATCAATGCCAGTTTTGTGAAGAAGCATTTACGTGAGTAATAACAATAATTAAATGAATAACAACAATTAGAAAAATTATTCGATATCTATTCTAAAATTAATTAATAATTATAACAATAATACAAATAATACAAATAATTGATAATAAATGATAAAAATGTTGCTATGGTCATTTTGTAGTCGAAAAGGGAATCTAGAAAGGCATACAGAGGCGAGGCATACCATTGATAAAACTTTCAAATGTATCGTGTGTAAGACATATTTCAAAACTCAGCAGGATTTGCGTGATCATACAGATACGGATCATCCTGAAAGAAAGTACAAATGTAACGAATGTCCATCTACATTTACCCATCAGAGGACCTTTAACGCGCACATAAATATTATACATAAAAGCAGTAAATCACATGTTTGTAAGGTATGTGCTACAAAATTATCATTAATATCTTTTTTTATTTCTCATATGATTGTTTACATTTTTACATTTCGTTAGACATAAATGTATTGTATTTTAGGTTTGCGGCAAAGGCTTTCGTACCAAACATCACAAGGCTAGCCACAGTTTGGTACACAGCAATAAAAAGTTTTTTGAATGTTCGGAGTGTGGCAAGGGCTTCAAACATAGAAATACATTTATTGTACATTTGCGAAAGGTCTTTCACAAGAAAATATTTAATCGATTCTCTGAAGCAAATTCTCATTTGTCTTCTTATTTCTGTTATAACCATATATTATGACAGATAATTGCAATATACCATTTTATATATAAAAAATTATTTATTTTTAGAATCACAACAATGACACCAACAATGACGACACCTGTAAAACAAGTGAAGAACAAACAGTTCAACGAATTATGGCCATTCTTAATGAAGCAGTTCAACAATCTGATGAAACATAAAGCGAGTATCAATAAAGTGTTAATTGGAGTGTAAAAGAAGTGTAAGGAGGGAGTAATGGAAATGAAATCCGTAAGAAGCGAAAATTGGAACATGGAATGTAAAGAAAGCATCGACTAAACATTAAAGAAACACAAATAAAGTATAGATAAGTTCTTTGGCAAGCACGAGCAGAATGTTCGTTGAATGTAAACGGAGCGTGACTAGACAATCTAGAGAACATAAACGAAGCATCGTCGAGTTCTTAGATGAACGTGAATGAAATCGAGGTCCTTGGTAAGCAAATGATATTTTAAAATATATTTTATTTATTCAGTAAATTTCTAAAAAAAGTGCTGTTTTCTTTTTGAAGTTCTAGGGGCTAACTTCAAGAAATTATTTCATTAGAACAGAACTGAAAAATCTTTCAATGCTACGTCTATCCTAGTCTATGCAGTTTTTTAAATTTGAGAAGTTAGTTCTCGCTAAATCCCTCTACCGCGTACTACTCATCGACGCTTCGTTTATGTTCGCTATATAGCTCAATGACGCGCCGTTTTAAAATAAATTTTTTTATTTCTATGGAAATGTACATAAAGCGTATTTTAATGCTCCGTGTACTTTTTGTGGCATATTTAAGAAGCATAGATGAAGTACCAATGAATGAAGTGTTAAGAAGTGTATCAGTACGTTCCATGCATTCCTTGCGGAGTGTTGAGAAGCATAGGAGAAACATTAATAAAAACAAATATTTAAAACATGTGGGAAATGTAATAGATGTGTTTCGGGCACACTTTACGGAGCGCTTGGCGAGAGTTCGGAGGGCACGTATAAATAAAATCACTAAGAGTCAATGAAAAGTTGATGAAGTGTTTAAGAAGAAGTGTTTCTTTGTTCACACTTTTTCGACAAGCTATACATTTTCGTCAGAGTGACAATGCGTCCAGTAAATTCTCATTTAATAATTTTAATAATTTAATAATTTTACGTCCTTGTTGGGTTTAAGGTACACTCGCAAATTGAAAACAGAATTTTTTGAAATTGATACTACATGTATTTTACTAGAAGACGTTATTACGCTTGTGTAATTGCAATGAGATTGAGGTTTCAAAAATACTGAGATGTAACAAATTGAAAACCGCATTTTTTATATGTGTCACTTACACAAAGTTAAAATGTCACGTTTCTTTTTGTGATTCAAACTAGCAGTGACATGTTAATAAGAAACGGGTATGCGAGTAGGAACTTGAAAGGGATATTGTAAAACAAATGTCATATAATTTTTTACCATTTAGTCTAAAAAAGTGTCTTGACAAGAATTCAATTTTTGTAAATATTTGTCAATGCGTCATATGAATCGAAGTAATGCTACGTTAGGCTCTCATCAGTGTTCACTTTTTCTGTGTGCTTGCGACTAACAGACGGAATCAAAAGTTTTTTCTTACTAGCGGAAGTGGAAAGTCACAGTATCAAACGTTCGAGGGAATTTAACTTCTGATGATTATTGCGAATATAGTACCTTATAGGTACGTTCCCTACCACTTATAGCGCAGTAAGCATTATTGTATTTAATGTATGATGATCGTGTTTAATATATGAGTGTGTTTAATATAAGGATGAAATAATACCTACAGCGTGTGAGCGTAAAAACGAAATTTACCTAAATGTATTAACCAAATGTAATCAATCGTAACTAAGAATCAATTATAGTGCTAATTTACCCGCCTGTGTCTTCAGAATACAGTCTAATTTTAATATTGGATGTACGTGTTATTATTTTTGTATGTATGACTATGGGTGCGTTCGGGAAGACACTATTCGCGCTATGGACGCAAATGTTACCAATGTTGTTCTTGGAGCCAATAGTGCGATAGTGAGCCAATAGTGTTAGCAAGTTCCATGAATGATCCTAGCGTAGCGTTGGTAGCGTTAACCAGAGAGATATATTGGTTGAGGTTAAGTCTAAGTGTAGGGAATTCTCAATGTATGGTATTTCCAATCAAACTTTTCCCTATAATTGCAATCTCTATGATAGCTTGCCGCTAGGCCGAAGTGAACAATGTAAATTAGATAAAAAAATTAATAGTTACACTAAGTAAATTAATCAGATAAAAGGAAGAACTCTTGAGCATCCATTGTCGATTTCAGAAAAATAAGCATATCTACATCTAATAAGGACCTTAAGCATCTGCAACAGAATACTCTGCCGCGCTATACTACAATAGTAATTTTTTTCCGTACACGGGAATTAAAAATTGCCAATAACAAGATACCTCTGATTTTCACATTTATAATGAAATCAAATGCACAAGTTGAACTTTGCAAACTTTGAAAAGTTAAAGATGACACAAGCAAGAATTACGTTCACTCCAGCCTAGTGGCCATTAGTAGAGATTAAAATTGAGATTGCATTCATTAATAATAAAATTTAAAATTCACACATTATGTACGTACGTTTACTCTACGAAATTCTAAGAGAGAAAAGTTTGGTCGAGAATAGAATCCCCTCAAATATTAATCTAACTTTGACGAATATTAAACGCTACCAACGCTATGCTAAAGTCGTTCATGGATCTGTAAACGCTAACGCTCCCAATACACTACCTCGGAAGGAATAGCGTTGATAGTGCGCAGTTGTGACGTCTGCTCACGCTACTATTAGTGACGTCATGATGTGTTTATTACGCGTTCTGCAGCTCCGCGAACAGTTTATAGTAATAGCGTCTCCCCGAACGCATCCTATATTACTCATGTATGTACTTTATATTATAAGTCGAGAGACATGAATTATATTAAACCAACTGATATTATAGAGCATAATAATTTATTCTCGATTATTGAATCATCGCCATAATTAATTAATTAATTAAATAATTTAGTTTATTGCAAAGCTATATGAAAAAGACCACATGTTAACAGAGTAATAGACATAAAATACGAGCGATAATTGTCTCAAATATGATTGACGATCATTATCTGATAAGGTTTCTAACAAGGTCGAAGATAAAACATAAAATTTTAATAAAAATACAAAAATAAGAAATAAATGATATTATTATTCTGATACACACAAACATATATTGGTCCGTAATTAGACTGTCTTGCAGTTAATTCTAAAATGCGAATGAGGATGAGTGATCCAATGGCATGGTTTCCCCGGCGGGAATAAGATTATGAAATATTGGGTTTGTCCGGAAAGTTCGTGCCGACTAAATTTAAATTTAGTATACATTTATTAAATTAAAATTTTCTGCGTTTCAATTTTCTTTCAACATCTGCACGAACTTTCCGGACAACCTAATAACATCGCCTGTCGGATAGGTTACGAAATCGACATATCCAGATAACATCGAGAAAGAATGTTTTTACAATTTTTCATTCGTATGTCGAATTCCTTTTTAGAACCATAACAAACTTTACATATGTCTGATATTTCTATTTTTTAGACGTGTTCCTCTTTGATATGTACATATCAGGATTCTGATTTTTGTCGAACATTTGTTCCAGTTCATGAGCAATGAAGTTCCTTATTTTCGTCCTTGTTCAGCGGACTTGCCGATTCTCTCAATCAGATCCAGAACTCGATTTCTCCTACAAAAATACAGTATAAAAATTTTTAAAAGATGTGATATAATTTATATGTATTTATACAAGAGTTTCGTAACACAATTATATCATTTCCTTGAAGAAGAAATTATATGAACGCTACTAATCTAATTACAATTACAAATTGTTTTAATGATTAGAAACACATTCACGTTGATTTTCTTAAGCATGGCAAGAAAATAAAAGGCTAAACTTCTGAAAATGTCAAACGCTTAATTTTCATGAATTTTGGTGAAACACTCTAAATGACGTCAATAAATACCCTTAAATGGATTTTCACTGACACAAGAAGGTTTAATGTCAAAAAAATTTAAATAAAATTATATATCACTTAATATAAAAAATAAATAAAAAAAATGGATTACTGTTACATAGCTTACTATAAATTACTTTGATATTGAGCTTGATTTCTAAGAAGATCCTACTTTCATATGTTTCTAGACGGGAAGGGAGGGAGGGGGTGAGAATTGCTTCGCATAGAAAGTCGTGCGTTTCGAATCTCCTCCATTCAACTCCAATATCGAGTGTTTCATACTATTCGTATATTCCTTTTATCTTCGCAAGATAAGATTCAATCAAATGTTCAGACAAAAGTTGTAGGATTTAAAAAGATCTATTTACAATCTTATCAGTTTGACTTTAAGTGATTTATCGTGTAATTAACATTATCGTCGTGTAATTTACACAAAGAGTATTCGACTGACGGCTAAAATCTCTTGAATATTGTTCGAGATCGTGTCTTGAATAACATTTGTCAAGATCAAAGCCATTGGAGATTGTATCTTATTTTCATTTTTATGTAGCAATAAATTTTTAGTGCAAAAATGAAAATAATCTTCAATTGCATAATGTTAATGCCGACTATAACTTTCGAGTATTATTAACTCGAAAAGTACTCAATGAAAAATAACTTTATTATAGCGTTTTGAAAAGCTCTCGATATCAGCTAATAGATATTAAATATAATAAAAGGAATAAAAAGTTAGATTCCATTTAAAGAAATCGATATGACTGATTTGGCGTTACCTAAGGTTAAACTGATAAAATTAATAAATAGATTTTTTTAAATCCTACAACTTTTATTTGAATATTTTTACGATTGGATCTGATTCTGCGAAGATAAAGAGATGTATAGATGGTCTGAAATCTGATATAAACCGAGAAACGTGTAATATACTAAAAATAATAAGTACAAATTTCTATATCTATCCATCAAACATTTTTGGCATTTTTAAACCTTCTTGTTGGAGAAAATCCATTTAAAGACATTCATTTGTCATATAAAATGTTTCTGTCAAAATTCATGAGAATCGGACGTTTGACTTTTTTGGAAGTTCATCCGAATAAAATAATTACAAAATTTTTATTATTATAATCAGAGCTGGGATTAGATGCTTCAGTAATGAAGCAAAAAAATGCGATCCCTCAGAAACAAAAAAAATATTTTCTTCACAGTGTGAAAAATATAATAAAAAATAATCTTATTCATTGATACTTAATTTAATAGTAACATTATTTAATAAGATAGTTAAATGTATAAAATTATACAGTCAAATATATAAAATTATACGTTAAAAACATGCAGGTTATGTATACATGTATATTATAAGCAATAAAAACATAGTTACAAAAAGCAAAAATAAAATCAAAGTATATGTATATATTGTATTTATATAACAAATAATATTAATTATCGTAAAAATTCATGGAAAATGTTTTTCATTTAAAGTAATACTTTTTGTGCTTCGATAATCACAAAATTTTTCTCAAAATTCATATCCTTATATTTCGTTTTACTTATAATACAAACGAGTAGGTAAATATAATCATCGTTGGTAGCGAATAAATTAAAACAGAAATTTATTGCCATTTTTGCATCCTTCCAAATTTTTTATACGAGGCAAATGCTTTGATCGCAACTCAATCCCAAGTCTGATTATAACTTTAGCTTTCAAATAGGAAAACAAAACCGTGCAAAACAATCATACATGATAATCATGCGACGACGAAGACTTAAATTTATTTAGATTAGATCTTCTAATCTTCCGGAGCCACAGATTAATATTGTGGAATGACACTCCCATCTTTTGGGCCAATTCTTCCATTTTATTTCTTCTAGGATATGGTGTTTCTTTAAGCATCAATTCTAACTCATTCCGCTGATCATCCGTGAGTTTCCTTTTGCTGCGCGACGCTGTTTTCACCGGCTTTGTCATCTCGCTTTTGCAATAGGAATGTTCGATCTTGATTCGACCTTTCAAAAGATCAATCTTTTGACCACAAAAGATCAGATTTTTTTAATCAATCTCCTTTTCTTGTAAACTTTTATTGTAAATCACTTGTTTTAGCAATGAATCGATCTCAGATTTTTCTCGATAGGAGCACATTCGAAAACATTACTCAAATGCCTTACGCAGTAAAATTTAACCAGTACGAATTGATCTATTTACAATAAAAACCATAAGATCTTAACGTAAGTAATAGCAAATGCAATATGTTAATTTCTTTACTGTTTACATCTTACTGCTTAAGTTTTTTCTGCCATGGCTCTTATCCAGTAAGCAAAAAACATAAGATCAACACTTTGAAATATTAATTTTATGAATTTCATCAACATTTTCGTCTAATTATTTTATAAATATAATTATAATATTATTTAATAATATATTTTCGAATCATTAAACGTATCAACATTATAGGAATCTCTAAATCAGTGTTATAGTCTGTTCAAAATGATGTTGTATTCAATATTAAATACAATACGTAAATATGTACATGTTATTAAATATTATAACATCCTAATAATAATAATAATTTTTTGCTTAGGTAATAACGACAGTGATTATTAAATCTTTCCTCAATAAAATCTTTTTTACAGGATTGGTAAAAATCATATTTAAAACATTCCAAATGGCACATAACGCCTACAAGCATTTAAAAAAACACTTAAAAAAGTATAGTTTTAGCGTTTTTCAAACGCTGTTGTACTACTTTGGATGTTTAAAATATGTAAAATCAATATTTTTAACATATTTTAATATATTTTTAACATATTTTAAATATGTCTAAAATACTATTTGAGACATATTTAAAATATTAAAAAATATGTTTTTAAAAAATATAATATTTTGTTTTTTAAAAAAAACATTGAACGCGGACAAAGCTACTAGTCTGCCCGAGTGATTGAATGCGATTGATTGGATCTATAAGTAACATCATTTTTACTCGACAAACAGGTTAGCCGCGCATTATTTCTTGTCAACTTTGATTTTACTGCATAAATAGATTTTTCCAGATCGATCTTTAAGAAATCATTCTTTTTAATGCGATCTATAATGAATCCATATTATTGCAATCCGAGATCGATTCAAAGATTGATTTCCAATAAACGAATCACACTCCTATTTTATAATCGGATTCAGAACCCACCTTTTCCTGCAATTAAAAAAAGCATATTAAAAATAATAAAAAATTATACTAGTGTATATTTATATATATTAAAATTTCGTACTATACTATCTATAATATCTATCATTAAAAAAGAAATTATATAAATGTTAAACTCTGCTCTATCATTCAATTTAATTTATGTTACGACACAAGATCTAATCACAATTACATCTCTTTTAATGATTAGTAATATCATTACTTTTCGACGGCAAATAAATAAAATAACTTAGGCATCGAATGGCTTGCCGCGATTGATTCACGATCGTAGATCTGAGTTCAATCTCACTCGCGCCCACATACGCGATTTTTCGCGTTTAAGAAGTCATCTTTTAATCATCAGATGGAGTCAAAAATGATTCCATCTGATGATTAAAAGATCTTTAATCACCGTTCGGATCTGGCGTTAAAGATCCCATATATCAGTGGATATTATGTGTAGATCCTCTAGACTAGAAGTTGGATATTAGACTAACAATCTAATTCCGGAAAATAATCTGAAAAATTGTTACGAAAAATTTCATGAGAGTTAGGCCTTGTCCCATCGAATGAATGAAATAAAATAAGACTCTCTCTAATATTAACAATAAATAAGGAAAAATATATTGGCAATGAGAGTCAAGTGCAGTAATTGGAGCGCAACAAAATTATCAGTGATTTATTAATCAATAAATAACAAACGGCATCATTCTGAGCCATCATCAGTGGATACATTACTTGTACATGTGATTATTATCTCAAGCTCCACTTGGAAAGTCATACGTATGTCTCTCACAATGATTGCAAGACCAAATGATTTTAGATCTAAAAGGAGCCAAGATCTGTGATAGAAAGTTTGTTCATTCGACTGATCAGTTTCCACCACAGATCTCGACTCCTTTAATGGCTCGGAATGATGGCGTTTGTTATTTATTGATTAATAAATCACTGATAATTTTGTTTTCCTTATTTTTGAAATAAAAATTTCCTTTTCCTTATTTATTGAAATAAAAGAATTACAAAAATTTTATTATTATATAAGAGCTAGGATTAAATGTTTCGGCGTTGAGGCAACAGAGAAACAAGCACAATTCTCAGTAACAAAAAATATTTCATGTAAATAAAAAATAATATTAATTAGTGATATTTAATATTAATTTGATATCATTATATTTAATAAGAACATAATCACATGTATAACAAGGTATATTAAAAACATATTATGTATCATGCTATGTTATAAAAGAATAAAATGTAATTACTAAAACAAAATCAGAGTGTGTACAAAGTGTTCCAGAAAGATCGCCAAATATTTCGTACGTAGATTAAACTTAACTAATTGTAAAACTAGTTGAAAAGTCCTCTACTATTTTGCAATTTTTGCAATAGTTAAAAAGATATTAATAACTAAAAATCGCTGAATATTCTTTTTTAATAATTTTTTATTCGAATACTATCAATTTTACAAAAAAACAGCGAGAGAAAAAATTATTTATTTTCTTCTTATAGAGAGCTCTAATAATTTTTTATTTACTTTTTAGTACTGAGAAAATGCAGTATTAAAAAATTCTGAAAAAATTCTCAGAATTCTATGAAAAAAAAATAAACAATTTTTATCTCTTGCTGTTTTTCTGTAAAGTTGATAGTTTTCTGTAAAGTTGAGTAAAAAATGATTGAATACTTATATTCGGCGATTAATAATTAATCTTGTTAACTATTACGAAAATTGCAAAATGGTAGAGAACTTTGCAACTCAGTTTAATCCGCTGCCCACAAAATATTTGACGGTTATTTTAAGACACACACACACACACACACACACACACAGACACACACACACAGACACACACACACACACACACACCATATATTGTATAGTGTTTAACATTTATATAATAGATAAAATTAATTATCGTAAAAATTTGTAGAAAATGTATTTTTCATTTAAAGTAATATTTCTTTGATAGCCACAAAATTATCAATTATTTTGTCAACATTTCTCATCTTTACATGTATTTCTTAGTTTTTATTTAGTACATAACGAGCGCTTAACGAATAAATATGAGTATCACAAGTATCACCATTAATATCAATTAAGATAAAAATATATATTGTCATCTTTGCATCCTTCCAAATTTTTTACGTGGCAAGTGCCTCGTTTGCTATAGTCTAATTACGAATCTAGTTATAACTATTAACTTTCAAATAGCAAAACCGGGCAAAATGATCATACGTGATAATCAACACGATGAAAGTATAACTTTGTTTCGATTACAGGCAATTATTCAGATTAAAAGACATCACGATAACCGTGACTTTGATATATATCGTCATGGTCGTGATAATGTGTGATCTTCATAAGGTGCTAATCATTAATCAATTAAAAATTATTGACAAAAAAGTTTAAAAAAATAACATCTTAATTCTGTTATATACAATATTAAAGATTACTTTATATCTGTTTACGTAATAACTTTCTACGCGAAACAAGATCTATCCCACATCCTTCCCCATTCTGCTTAAGGGCGAACGATTTTCCATGCAAAGCAAGGTCCTCACACATTCCTATTTAGGGACGCGTGTATTTATTGTATATAGCAGAAATAAAACATTATTTTCTTGTAATTTTGGTCAATAATTTTTGTAAGGATCAGTGACCATCACCTAAGATCTTTTGAAAATACTCATAGCCTTGATCTTGACAACATAATCAAAGTTGAGATCATCGATGCGGTATTCTGTATTTCGAGTAATTACCCGATTATATCTTCTAGCATTCTTGAACCATATATTAATACTGTGAAATGGCACTCCCATCTTCAGAGCTAATTTTTCCATTATATTTCTTTTAAGATATGGATTTTTCTCAAACACCCGTATTAACTCGTTCCGTTCATTATCCGTGAATGTCTTCCGCGTCGCTGTTTTCAGCGGGTTTAGCGTTCCGTTTCTGTAATTGAAGTTAGAATTCACTGTTTCCTACAACAAAAATACATAAAAAATAAAAATGAAATTATACTGGTACATACAGGGTGTCTCGTAAGTTTTGACAAAGCGTTCGTGAGCAGATAGAACGAACTAAACTGAATCGAAAAGTCCATTACCATTTTGTAATTTTTGCAATAGTTATAACAAGATATTAATTACTAAAAATCGCCGTATAGTTTTCAATAATTTTTTACTCAAATATTATCAACTTTACAGAAAAACAATAAGAAACAAAAATTGTTTTTCTGTAAAGTTGCTAGTATTTGAGTCGTCAATAAGAAAATGCAGTACTAAAAGATTGATAAAAAAATTCTAAAAAAATTCTTACAGCTCTTTAAGAAGAAAAAAAAAACAATTTTTGTCTCTTGTTTTATTGTGAAGTTGATAGTATTTGAGTAAAACATTATTAAAGACCAATATTCGGCAATATTTAGTAAATTAATATCTTGTTAACTATTGCGAAAATGATACAGGACTTTTCTACTTAGTTTAGTCCGCTCTATCTGTTTACGAGCGGTTTGTCAAAACTTATCCGATACCGTGTATATGCGAGTTTCAAAATATACAATCACTTTCATTGGAAAAGAAATTGTATATATTGAACATTATTCTATTGTCTAACTTAATTTATATTGTGGCATAAGATTTAATCACAATTATAGTCTTTTAATGATTAAAAATATCATTGGTTTTCTGAATTGCTAAGAAAATAAAATAATTACAAAAATTTTATTGTTGTATAAAGTGTCTTTCAATAAGGACGCTCGATTTTTAAATGTAAATAAAACAAGTTGTGAGATATCCACTCAATTTTTTTTTTATTTGAAAGAAATTTTATGGCATTAAGTGGAATATAACGTTGCTCAAATGTCCGCTGCGGCTTCGCTTGGTGACACGTATTCGGGTGGTTCAATTTTCGATGACTTTCTCGCAAATCTGGCTGAATTTGCTGGATGGCGTTTGTTATGTTGACTTTGAGAGCATCAATTGTTTGCGGTTTATTCGTATAGACCTGCGATTTAAGATAGCCCCAAAGGAAGAAGTCTAAAGGCGTTAAATCGCATGATCTCGGTGGCCAGTTCATGTCGCCGCCGCGCGAGATAACCATGTTCTCAAATCGCTCGTGCAGAATGTCCATCATGTGATGTATGGCACGTAGTGCCATCCTGTTGGAACCACATGTTATCAGTATCCATATCATCCATTTTAGCCCACAAAAAGTTGCTTATCATCGATCTGTAGCGCTCGCCGTTGACTGTTATGGCAACGCCCACTTCGTTTTGGAAGAAGAACGGATCGATGATTCCGCCAGACCAAAATCCGTATCAAACAGTGACTTTCTCGGGGTGCATTTAGAGCTGGTGTATCTCACATGGATTGGTCCCAAATTCGACAATTTTGCTTGTTCACACATCCATTCATCCAAAAATAGGCCTTATCGCTAAAGATGATTTGTTTGGCGAAATTTGGGTTAACTTCCAACTACTCCAGAATCCAATCAGCGAACACACGGCGTTGTCTATGGTCGTTTACCTTAAGTTTCTGGGTCAGTTGAATTTTATAGGGGTGCAGACCCAAGTCCCGATGCAAAATTCGCCAAGTTGAAGTCGCAGAAAGGCAAAGTTCTTGTGAACGATGAGAAATTGACCGCCTCGGATTTTCCCGTACACTCTCACGCACAGCAGCGATGTTTTCAGCAGACCTTGCGTTTCGGCGACGTACTGGTGTTGGTTGATTATTTATCGAACCGGTTGACTCGAATTTGGTCACCAAACGTCGAATAGTCGATTCGGCAGGACGGTTGTGGCGAGGATAAAAATCACGTAATGCGCGGAACGTTTCTCGAACGGAGCACTGATTTTGATAATAAAATTTTATGATTTGCACACGTTGCTCAACACTATAACCTTCCATGTTGATTTGCCATACACTACTAAACAATTCACAACAAATTTGACAGATGTCACTTTAACAATATGGCTACTATGATCTAACAAATTTCGAGCGTCCCTATTGAAAGACCCTATATAACCAGAGTCGAAATTAGTCACCAAGGCAAAAGAAAAATATGCACCTTCTCAGTAACAAAAAATATTTCTTTTATACGATGTGTAAAATATTATAATAAAATAAAAATAATATTAATTAATGATATTTAATTTAATTAATATTGTTTAATAAGAATATAATCACATGTGTAAGTATCATGTTGTGTTAAAAACGAACGAAATATAATTACTAAAGTCACGATAAAATCAGAATATGTATGTATATTGTATCGTTCCATTCACATTTATCAATAAATAATATTAATTATTATAAAAATTCATAGAAAATGTATTTTTCATTTAAAGTAATACTTCTCTTGTTTTGATAACTACAAAACTGACAATTTAATTAACATTTATATTTTGTTCTTATTTAGTACATAACAAGCATAATAACAAATATAGTTACTAGCGACTAAAGTAAAATAGAAAAACATACTGTCATCTTTGCGTACTTCGAAATTTTTTACATGAGACAAGTGCCTCGTTCGTCACAAACTATTCACGGGTCTGATTATATTAATTTTCAATTAATTTTCAAAATACCGTAAAACAGTAAAACAAATCATACGTTATAATCATCACGTGTTAATGAAGGCGTAATTTTGTCCCGTTTAAATTGTCTAATACGTGCAAACCAAGATGTGATCTTATAGAATGGCATTTCCCATCTCTGGGCGAGTTCTTCCATTTTATTTTTACTAGGATATGGAGTTTCTTCAAATATCCGTACTAACTCGCTGCGTTGAACATCCGTGAATGTCTTTTTGCTGCCCCATATTATTTTCGTTTCGCTTCTGCGATCGGAACTCACATTTTCCTACACAAAGCACATTAAAAATAAAAGAAATTATAATATACAGGGTGCTCTAGAACAATCCAGGTGTCTCTGAAGAGACGTATTTCTGATTCTATTTCGAATTCTAATAGCGTTTTTGACCCGAGCGAATTTGATCCCATTTAGGTTGGATAATATTCTATTGATTGATGTTACATATTCCACCAATAGAAGAGCATACGTCATTAATCCAACCTAGATTGGTGCAAATCCACTCGGATCGAATACGCTATAAGACGATTTTTCCTTTACGAAAATTTTATTTGAAGCTTAATTTCCAAATTACAAGAAGAAATAGTTAACCTATTAGGATCGTGTATAGGAGATGGGCAGGAATGGTGCTTTACGCACAGGCTGCAAATTGATCGGATGCATTCACATGTTTACAAAAACGTGTTCCTTCTTCTTTCCCTTCCTTCTACCTTTTCCTTTCTATACTACTTTCTATACTACTTTCTACCTTTTCTTATATTATCTCTTTGTCTTTCACATATTTTAAATATGCTAATTTCATTAAATTATAAAATAGAATGATGAAATTTAAAAAATTGATGAAATTAAAATATTGAACCCTTTGAGTATTGGATTGCATTTTAATTACATTGATAAAATTGTTAGAAAAATGTCGCAAAAAAATGAAATTAGACCATTATTACATGCGATAAGCATTATAAAACTATTATTGACATACAAATCATATAATTATTAAGTTTTAATCAAAATTACATTTTCTTTTAATAATTAAAAGTAAGCTAGGTTGAATTTTTGAAAGCGACAAGAGAATAAGATAAGAAAATTAATTAATTACAAAAATTTTATTTACAAAAATTATTATAACCATAGCCGGGATTAGACATTTCAACGTTGAGAAAAAAGAAAAACATGTATTTTCTCAGTAACAAAAAAATACTACTTTAACGACATAAAAAAAACGACAGGTAAATATAGTCACGACAGGTAAATGCATCAATAGCGAAAAAATTGGAACAAAAATTTATGTTATCATTTTGCATCCTTCCAAATTTTTTACATAAGGCAAGTGTCTTGTTCGCCACGACTAATTCTGGATCTAGTTATAACTATTCAAATCACATCAGCATAATATAACTGGACAAAAAATCATACGTGATGATTATGTGATGACGAAGGCATAAGTTTGTGCGGATTATATGTCCTAGTATTCTGGAACCATTTTGTAATACTGTGAAAAGACACTCTCATTTTCAGGGCTAATTCTTCCATTTTATCTCTTATAGGATATGGAGTTTCCTCAAATACTCGTACTAACTCTTTCCGTTGATTAACCGTGAATCTCTTTCTACACAATGTTTTCAGTAGCTTTTCCTTTCCGCTTTTGCAAACGGATTCAGGACACACTGTTTCCTACAACAAAAGCACATTAAAAATAAAAAAAGAAATTATATTAATACATATTTATATATTAGAGTCTCGTAATATAGTCTTTCATTAGAAAAGAAATTGTATAAGCATAAAACGCTGCTCTCATCTAACTTAATTTATGTGGCATAAGAATCACAAAATTACAATTTCTTTTAATAATTAGACATATCATTGAACGCGGTAAAAGAATAAATTAGAAAAATTTTGTTGATACCAGAAATAGGATTAGACCTTTCAGCGTCTAGGCAAAAAAGAAAAACATTCACCTTCTCAATAATAAAAAAATATTTCTTTTACGAGGTATAAAATATAATAGAGTTATAATAAAAAATATTATTAATAATAGTAGTACTTAATATTTATATAATAGATAATAATAATTATCGTAAAAATTCATAAAAAGCCTATTCTTCTCGTTTAAAGTGATAATCTTCATGTTTTGATAGTAACAAATTGCCAATTTTATATCAACATTTTTATCCTTACATATATTTCATGTAATACACAATGGCAGATAAGTATATAGTCACCGTGCGTTGATAGCGAATAAATTAAATCAGAAATTTATATTGTCATTTTTGCATCCCTCTAAATTTTTTACATAAAGTAAGTGCCTTGTCCGCTACAACATAGTTCTAGATCTGGTTATAACTATTAGATTCAGTTTCACAATTCACGGTTAACTCTTAACCGAGGTTCAACTTATTTATTATCTATTTTCAATTCTAGAATTGGAAAAAGATGAGAAACAAGTTGAACCTCGATTAAGAGTTAACCGTGAGTTGTGAAACTGGGTCTTAGAGAACTTTCAAATAGCAAAACAAAATCATATAAAATGATCATACTTGATGATCACACGTCGACGAAAACATAAGTTGTTTGTTCCGTTGAGTTCTTCTATTATTCCGGAACCATGTACTAATATTGGGGGATGATACTCCCATCTTTTGCGCTAACTCTATCATTTTTCTTTTACCAGGATATCGAGTTTCCTCTAATATCCGTATTAACTCGTTCCGTTGTTCAATCGTGAATCTCTTGCGGCGCGGCACTATTTTCAGCGACTGCGGCTCTTTGTTTTTATTTTTGCAATCGGATTCAGAAT